GATTATCAGTGCATGCTAATTTCAAGTATGGACAAACTAAGGAGCAAAATCACAGTATCACAGTATCACAGTATGTTAGAGATTGGAAGGGACCTCAAAAGATCATCTAGTCCAATCCCCCTGCCGGAGCAGGAACACCTAGATAAGGTTACACAGAAACATGTCCAGGCGGGTTTTGAATGTCTCCAGAGAAGGAGACTCCACAACCTCCCTGGGCAGCCTGTTCCAGTGTTCCGTCACCCTCACTGAGAAGAAGATTCTTCTCAAGTTTAAGTGGAACCTCTTGTGTTCCAGTTTGTACCCATTGCCCCTTGTCCTATCATTGTTTGCCACTGAGAAGAGCCTGGCTCCATCCTCGTGACACTCCCCCTTTATATATTTATATACACTAATAATGTCGCCCCTCAATCACCTCTTCTCCAAACTATAGAGACCCAGCTCCCTCAGTCTTTCCTCATAAGGGAGATGCTCCACTCCCTTAATCATCTTAGTTGCCCTGCCCTGGACTCTCTCCAGCAGGTCCCTGTCCTTCTTAAACTGAGGAGCCCAGAACTGGACACAGTATTCCAGATGAGGTCTCACCAGGGCAGAGTGGAGGGGAAGAAGGACCTCTCTCGACCTACTAACCAACCCCCTTCTAATACACCCCAGGATGACATTGGCCTTCTTGGCCACAAGGGCACAGTGTTGGCTCATGGTCACTCTGTCGTCCACTAGGACCCCCACGTCCCTCTCCCCTACACTGCTCTCTAACAGGTCGTTCCCCAACCTATACTGGAACCTGTGGTTGTTCCTGCCCAGATGCAGGTGTTCCATCACTTTCCCAGGAATGGAGGTGAGGCTGACCAGTCTATAGTTACCCGGGTCCTCCTTCTTGCCCTTTTTGAAGACTGGAGTGACATTTGCTTTCCTCCAGTCCTCAGGCACCTCTCCGGTTTTCCAAGACTTGGTAAAGATGATGGAGAGTGGTCTAGCAATGACCTCCGCCACTTCCCTCAGCACCCGCGGGTGCATCCCATCTGGACCCATGGATTTATGGATGTCCAGATTGCTCACCTAACCCATTCCTCATCGACTAAGGCAAACCGCTCCGTTGACCTGACTTTATCTGAGGTCTCAGGGGTACAGGGCTCTTCAGGACTGCCTCCAGCAGAGTAGACAGAGACAAAGAAGGCATTAAGTAACTCTGCCATCTCTGTATCTTCTGTCACCAGGGCACCCGTCCCGTTCATCAGCGGGCCTACATTGCCTCTGGTGTTAGTTTTATGTGCCATGTATTTGAAAAAGCTCTTTCTGCTGTCCTTGACCCCTCTCGCCATCTTTAATTCCAAGGAGGCCTTAGTCATCCTAGCTGCTTTCCTACATCCTCTAGCAGCAGCCTTATATTCCTCCCAAGTGGCCAGCCCTTCCTTCCATGACCTGTAAACTCTCCTCTTCCACTTCAGTATACCCAGCAATTCCCTATTTAGCCACACAGGTGTCCTGACCCTCTTCCTTGTCTTCCTATGTGTCAGGATGCTCTGATCTTGAGCTCAGAAAAAGCAGTCCTTGAATGTCAACCAACTATCTTGGGCCCCTTTACCTTCAAGCAGCCTAGCCCATGGGATTTCCCCTAGCAATTGCTTGAAGAGGCCAAAGTTTGCCCTGCTAAAGTCCAGGGTTGCAATTCTACTTGCTATTCTACTGGCCCTACCACACAAGATCCTGAATTCCACCATCAAATGTACTGAGATTTTGCACAGAAAAAGAGGGAATGTTCCAAAGGTTATTTTGCACACATTTCTAGATAGGATGCAATTGATACACCTAGTTTTAGAATTAAATCAATAGGCATCTCTTGGGAGAATCCAAGGCACTGTATCCCCCAAAAAACTTGAAAGGTGCTTATTAGAGTGCTGTTCTCCATTGCTTTTGCTTCAGTCAACCTTAATTGAAGGGATCCAGGGATCCAGACAAAACAGTGTAAAGAGATGGAATCTGCAAAGTCAGGTGAAAACAGAAGGTGCCTGTGAAAAAGATTCACAAGCTGTCCTTAAGGGCTGAATTTTTCCATTTCCTAAAGAATGCCCAGTAGAAGTCATTCAGTCTGCGTCATTTATTCCAAGATAGCTCAACTGATATTCCTTGGGACTGGCTAGAGAATAAATCCATAAGGTAAAAGAGTAATCCATCTTCCAAGATCACTCAAATCTCTGTTTATTTGCCCAAGAATTATACCTGCATATTAGTAACACCAACATTTAGGTTTAGTACATCCCCTCTTGCAACTGCACTGACTTATTTCTTAACTTCTAAGCAGCCATAGGATGACTGTACAGTTTCAATTTTATTCACAATTTACCTAGGCTGAATTGGATTTGGTGGCCTGAATTCTGATTTAATGTTACAGTTCCAGCTCTTATTCACAATAAAGACCTTTACAATATTATTTAAGAGACACATGGAATTAGGAAGTAAATAGATTAAACTACTTTAACAGGATATATTCAGCCATGAATACATGCTTGAAAGAGTTACATAAAACTGTTGATTTCCAAAAGTTGATTTTCAAAGTCTCCAATGATAAAAGAAAAGAAAGTTTTCCTTCAAAGAAGTCAAGAATAAGATTGATGTCTTTTTTTTCATTAGTACAAGAGTTTAAATTTAAAAATCCACATCCCTCACGGCTCTAGTTAATTGTACTTTGGAGATGGGATTTCAGTACTTAACTTTCTGTAGTGATAATGAAAGCTTGCCTGTACATTGAATGATTTTTAGATATTTTTTCCCTAGTACTTCACCATAATCTTGTTATGGGAATCACAAATACAGAAAATATTTCAAACCAGCCAGTTGAGACAGCAAGCAATTAAATAACTCTGGAAAAGAGTGCCTTAATGGTGCAAAGATGCAAGCATGTGCTGAAATGTATGCATGAATAATCCCATGTGTAAAGTTAATTGCCTAGATCAGCACATAATGACAATGCAGCACCACAGTACAAATAAACTAAAGTGATTACACGGACAAAGACTGCATCTTTTCATTTTAAAAAGATAATGATTAGAATATTACATTTCCTTCCTGCCTTTATTTGAAAGGGTGCAAAGCAGAGATAACTCATGAAGCTCCTCCTGGGCAGCTTATTAACTCTGTCTGAGGTCTTCCTTAGCTCTTCACCTCCCAGCTGCCTACAGCTTAGGAAGCAGGCACCCAGAGCACTTCTTCTCCTGCCAATCCACTCCAGTTTTATGTCCCTGGTTTAGTAACCATGGCATGAAGTGATCTCCATCTAGGACACCCTTTTCACAAGGTCTCTTCCTTCCTTCCCCATCTTTCTGACAGCTTATTATCACTGAAGTCAAAATGTTACATAAAACAAGTTGTTTATGGAAATCTTATTTCTGTCCCATGAACCCCATCCTGATATGATAGGCATTGTCTCTGGCTGCAAGTATTAAATATATTAATTATATCTGTCATTATACAGTTCCCCTCTTATCACCACTGGCTTTTATAATCCTGGCGAAATATACTCTGAGTAGTAAAATCATTGCACCTTAGCACACTTTAACATTTATAACAATCTGACATAATAAGGATACTGTCATTGCAGAAACACCTTCCTACACCCATGTGGGTACTTGGAAATATGTACTTTCTCCATCGTCTTACATAAATATAGTAGCTTAGGAACTTTAATGCTGTGCCTTGGTTTTTAATGATAGGAGATGTTAGGTACCATTTAAAACATGAGTTGAAAAGGAGACAACTCAGCTTTAACTGTAATGCAGCTTTTCCTTTAGATGTAGTCACCTGCTCTGCTTCTCTCAACTGGGAAAAGTGTGAGAAAATAGGAAACAGCTGAAATTTTAAAACAGAAACCATTAAGATCCTATCTTGGTACCCCTTTCTCTCACTTTTGGGTACCTAAAGAACCAAAAAAACTTAAGGTGACAAACTTTGGTGTCAGTCTCACTCCACTCACAGCTATTAGGTATACAAGATTTCTACAAATTGAAACTAAACTCTGGCGTGTAGTGGCAGGTCTAATCTTCTGAAGTCTGTATAAAACCTATGTATAGCTTGCTCTCTTGCACTTTAACAAGTGCTGGTGACAGTGGTTCAGTGGCTGTCTTCTCAAAACAAAAGGCACAGGTTTTGGAGCCCAAAGAAATGGGCTCAATCAGGACATAGCCAATCTTACGCTCTTGCCTCTAAATTGCACCATTAAAATAATGAATAAGTCTAGACTGCCCTTCTGGATTCTGATGCCTGAGTGTAGAATGTCTGTACAGGTTAAGAATTCTAGATTTTCATGTACAAGGAAGAACTGCATGTAAGTTTTGTTTAGAATTTTTAAAATAGAGAAAATTAGCTAAATACTACAGGATGTTGATGTTTTTGAATTATGGTTTAGAGTTTGGGGATACAATTGTTAAAGGAGCACGTTGTTTAGGTAAGTGTCCAAAAGTCAGAGATCCATATTTAGGAGAACCAAGGTGCCAGATTGAGTGTTTACGTATTACCATGTTGTGCAGCAGATCTGGATTGTAAAACTGTAATCAGAGTGGTGAAGCATTCCCTGTACCTTAGCCACAGGAACAAATATTGGTACCAAGCAATCAAGCATGGCTCAAGTAGCAGCTCTGAATCTTTTGTGATGTTTTGCTTTGTTGCTCATTTGCTTTAGGACTGACAGAGTCCTGGCTATTGTCAGAGTGACAAGAATGGCTACAGCAGACGTCTGTTTTGGTGACAGCGTTTTGGAAGAGACCAGGGAGTTTTGCAGTGGAGAGACATAACAGACTCCAGCCCCTTTATTAATACATGAGAAAGATGGACTTCCTCCTGAATTCTGGCAGCAGGACCTGGGAGAAGGGAGGCCTGTGCACATTAGGGAAAAGCTGCCTGAAGCTGGCTTTGCCACGGCTCCCCGCTGCCTGACACCCGCCCGATAACGGGGCGCAGGACGGAGGTGGCGTGCGAGCCGGGGGGGAGGACTGGAGGAAGGTGCCGTGCCTTGTGGCCCTGGGGCGGGGCTGCCGTACCGCCTCGCCTGTGCATTGGGTCTCGAATCGTACATAAATATAGCCGGGGTGGGCTCGCCACACTCCTCTCCCCCCCAACTTCCAACCCAGGAAGAGAGGGGAGAAGAGAAATAAGATGGGGGGGGGGGGGGGGTGTAAAAAAATCCCAGTGAGGTCATTTCAATGAGAGCGCAGGAGGCGATGAGACAAGGTCGACTTTTCCGGCGGAGGCGCACCGCCTGAGGAGCGCGGTGCCGTACACCGCCAGCCGCGCTGCCCGCCCGCAGCGGCACCCGTCCCCGCCGCCCGTCCGGAACCTTGGACAGCTCCACGGCTCTGGGGCTGCCCTTGCCGCCGGTCCGGCGCTGCGCGAAGCTGCGCGGAGCCCGGCTCGGCCCCTCGGCAGCGCCCGCCGGCAGCGGATGTGCCGCTCCGCCCCGGCTGCCGGCGAAGGAACAAAAGTTTGGGGGCTACCTACCGCCGCGGGAGAGTCGGAGGAGGAGGATGCGCGGTTTCCCCGGCTGATCGGGAAGGAAGGATGACCAAGGGAGGATGTGCACCAGCAGCCAGATCATCGGGAGCCTCCTGGTGCTCTCCGTGCTGGAGATAGGGTTAGGGGTGTCCAGCGTGGCCGTGGGGGCGGTCAGTTTCAGCCTGGTCCTCACAGAGCATAAACCTCAGCTGGGAGACTCTTCTCCGGTATGGAGCGGGGTGTGTGTACGTTAGCCATTTCACTCTCTCTTTAACTCTTTATGGTGGTGATCAGACCGTGCGAAGGCATCCCCCTCTGTTCCCTTTTCTCCCCTTCCTTCCCGCGTGTGCATGCTGTGCCGGGAGCCTCGTCGGGTCCATTTCCAGTGTGCATGGGGTACAGTTTGCATAGTCCTGGGACGAGGGGGGGAGGCACGGTGGGAGAGATGGCGGGGGAGGGGGGGGGGGAGAGAGAGCGGAGAGAGAGCTCTTCTTTCTCACTTCTTTTTATTTTTCAATATTGCTGTGAGCAATTGAACTTTCCATGAACCCATTCTTAAACCTGGGAAAGTGCAATGCCTTGAGTGGAACACAGGCCATAGCTTACAATCTTTAAATCGATTGTGAGTTTGGCTTTTAAAAAAAAAAATAACACACAACAAAACAGCCCTGTCCCTTGTGATGAGACTGTTCAAAAGTGTTTGAAAATAATGCCAAGGGTACATCAGCTGAGTTCTGAGCTTTTGGAGGAAAAAGAGAAAGAGGAAATGGAAAGGGAAAGGCAAGATATGTTCTCATGATTTGGGCACTCTGAGCTTCTTGTAAAATGAACAAAAAAATGAAACATCAATATGGGTTAATAGAAGCAGCATATTATCACAGAGCATTTCTCACTTCTCAAATTTTTTTCTTATTTTTTCAGCTTGAGAGATGCATATTTCTAGGAAGAATGTTCCTCCAAATGGTTATTTATATTTATGAAACAAAGAGTAGGAAATATTGAATATTCAGCCTAAACATGAGTGGGCATTTTTTAACTCCAAAGCTGGTTTTGGCCAGCTTGGCTTGAGCAGCAGTATTTCTAAAGGGATCATTTGCCTTATTTGAGATAAGATGGTAAATGCAAAACACTCTTGGTTATTCATCATCATAACCTCCTGTAATTTATAGATTCATTCTGACAAAGTGCTTCATGTAATATTCTGATTGTAAACAATTATTATTGACAACAGTCATAAATATTTTTGGCAGTATATAAGCATACACATAATTCTGCACTGCAGAACAAGTAGGTGAAAAATGAGAATAAAGACCAGATAAGATAAGACTGTGGTCAACAGATAATGGTATTATCAACATAATTTCAAAGAGTCAGGTTTTTTTTTATTATTGCTATGAAAAAAAACAAACAAACAAAAACGTGTCAATCTGAAGTTTTAATGACCAAGGGCAATATTCTGAGTTTCACTGAAGTCAAAGAGTTTTGACCACTCAGTGAGATCATTATTTTAGGCAGTGATTGCATTTTGTGACAATGCTATCACAGCTGATACCATTTCATGATGATGCACATTTCCTGCACAACTGCTTCATTCACTTTTATGATTTCTGTTACCCCAGAGCTTGTACTAGCAATAGATTAAGATCCTATTACATTAGATGTTGGCTCTGAGGACCTTAGTATCAAAGCAAGAGACAGATGTAGGGTAAAGAATGTAAGGGAGTATAAGCAAATGACAAACCCAAATTGATTGGTATAACAGGTGGCTGCATCAACATACCAGCAGTCTGGTTGATTTCAAGCTGTTTGTAGGCAGAGTTTTAGAAAGGAATATGACAGAGGAAAATTAACTGATTTTGCAGATGTTTCTAGGAAATTCTTCCATATGTGAGGGCAGAGGCAGGGAAGGGAAACCAAAGTGACTTGTTTGAAAAGGTAACAAGTGGGTGAAGAATGCCCATAACCAGAGCCAAGAGACAGTCACCTGCTGCTATGAACTGAGCAAGTAAATGCAGGTTGAGTAGGCAAAGAGAGGCCACAAAGAAACTATAAAGTGGAAGAAAACAGTTTGCATGTCATGTAGTAGAGGGCATGCAGAATGGGCTGACATGGTTACTAAGGCCTACTTACTTTGGCTTGAACTAAAGATCTATGGTCTAAATTCTCACCATTATGGCACCCTCTTTGTACCATTCCAGCAGTTAAAATTGTCTGTTAGGGTGTGTTCTTATGACTAAGGGACTAGCAGGTGAGACAGAACAAGAAAGGGGATAGAGATCTACCATTCCAGGGATGCTTAGGGCAATGGCTAACTAGATTCAAATTAAAACAACTGAAGACTTGCTTGCGCAATCCTCAGAATTGTCCTGCTGCAGAAGTGGCATAAACTTCCTTTCCACTGACTAGATCTTTCACTGAGCTCATATTGTCTTCATTAAAGAATATGTCTTGCATGAAATATGGTGAGGTTTTTTTGTCCAATTCACAATCTTGAATCAAGATTTTCCTTTGAGAAGTGAACATTAAGGAAAAGAAAGGGACTTTAAAGGAACAAAGCATACCTTTGACAGGTTAGGATGTGAAACACTGGATTTAAGTTGAACAGTGTCCTATCTCCTGTTGTAATTTACCTGGAAATATACTGAAAAATTTTGACCCTGTTCTATCCTTTTATGTGGGTGGAACTCAGCAGAGACTCAAGTTCATCAGGAAGTAGATGAAGACAGCATCACCATGGAAACCTTAACCTGAAATCCTAAAATTTGGGCATCTTAAACTCATGCACATTCTATCTCTTGTATTTGCCTCCCCATAATGCTTTACATTTGATGCACATTAGCTCTCTTCTTCCAAGAGTTGTTCTTATTGTATTATTCAACCAGATAATTTACTAATGTACCTGACTTTAAGCATGTGAATCCCAGCCATAGGATTGGAGATACAAGTGAAGTTAAGCATGGGCTGAAGTGTTCTGATGATTGCATGCCCTGCATTATGTATAAGCAAGCCAGGGAAAGTGGAACAGACGAGAATGAAAAAACAGAAATCCTAGACAATGTCTACATCAAAAATGCATGGAAAAAGGAAAACAGTTTCTAGATTTGCGGTTTGCATTGGAGTTGAGCTAGATCAAGACAGCAAGAGTTGTTCAAAAGTAGCTGGCAGAAAACAACTGAAGATATGTCGGGCTTCTCAAATCACCTGGAGTCAACTATCCAATTTATTTTACATCAGATCCAATCAGTTCTTTTTAAAATAGGCCATAAATCCTAAGTTGAAAACAAAAAAAATCAACAAAACAAGAAACCCCCAAATAAACAAAAAAGTCAATCCCATGTAATGTAAGGTAAATGTGGCTTTGATTTCTGATCTTGTTATGACTATATTGCTATACTTCACAGGCTGTACTCAGTGTCTCCCAGATTTCTTTTTAAACAAAATTTAGGCATATTTCTGCAATCCACCATTCCATTTCAGCTATATGATACAACAAACATAATAATGGTTGCATCACTATCACTATGAGTAGTGACTATGTATTCACACATATGCATAGGGCTCTAATTCTCATTTATTCTGCAGTGGTGAATAAATCCTTGCTACAAATGAGATTCAGAGAGAGAGAGAGAAAAGCCATGCCTTTAGTCAAATGTGCCACCTATCTTCAGATGCAAGAGAATCTGATGATTCACTTATGGCTATATCCCTCAAGAATAATAGTTTCTTCCACTGTAAAGACAAATATCTATAGGTATTTGAGAGATCTGCATTCTCTGGGTGTTGGTCAGTCTGTCTGTCTTTCTGTAGAGGCAGAGATATTATTTCCATGATTTGTGATTTTAGCACAGTGGAAGTCTACCTGCCCACTAAAAAATCTGCATTTATAGTTTGGCTACAGAAATTTGCTCCAAGTTGGCACTTGAAATATTTGATTTCTATGCCCTTTTTTTTTTAACCCAGGATTCGAAGGAAAAGAAAAAGTGTCAGTCAGTATGGAACTCTCCCACAGCAAGAACATAATTTTAGATTGTAAAATCAATGTTGGTGGTCTAGAATTTTAAAACATTAAATTCTTCATTTAGTATTACTCCTGCCAAGTTTCCTTTGGAAAGAACAGTCGAATTATTTCTTTTTCTTCTTTATTTATTTTCAAAAGAACACTAAAAAATTCACTTTATTGTTTAAGATGCAGACAAAATACAGATGTGATCCTACTTTAATTTGACATATGCCTTGCATTTTCATCAAACTGACCATATTTCTGGTTGGCTCCTGCTCCTGATGAAATGAATCACAGCACTGCCAGTGAGCTCAGTGGAAGCTGGGGAGAGTTCTGTACCTATAGTTGAGGGAGGACACATCAAGCAGGAAATCTTCTCACCTTGCATGAAACCAGAACAATTCCCTCCAGTTGAGTGAATTTCTCAGTCTTTCAGTAGGTTTTCTTTACCATTCAGACACTTCAGAAACATAAGCCAATCTGGAAGACAGTCTATCCAAGGGTACTTGTAATTCCCGAGTTGTTTTGGGGAGGATCTGTTGAACATAGGCTGACTTAAGCATATACTTAAATGTTTTTTCTGAGGTAAGATTTTAGTTCACCTGCAAGGAATAATCTTTATTGCTTTTTGAGACAAAAAACTTCATACTCTAAATGTTTTATATATAAAAAAAACCAAAAAAACCCAAAAAACATTATTTACTGTTTATTATTCTGACAGGCCCTAAGCAAGGAAATAAATATAATTATTTTGTGCTGAGAATTTGAGTGTTTTGCCAGACAATCAGAGAATTTTTTAATCACTAATTCAAAGATTCCCAGGTTCAAACACCCACTTTAAAATTTCCTTGAGCATTTCTAAAAATCATCTTCCATTTTTAAAGCATCTCTGCAGGCCTTAGAACCAGATTAATGGAAATGCTAATCACAGGGACACAGATGGAATTTAAACTGCTTGAATATGGCTTGGATTAGTGGGAACTCTAGCACCACCTGAGCTGATATGACCAAACAGCACACTACCAGGTCAGGGTATTATCTCAGCTTAGACATGTTTTAACACTATGTCTCACTTCAAATAGCAGAGGCCCCCTCTCAGCATGACAGATTTGGTGGGACATAGGGTTCAGCTGTGGCAATGCTGTTGCTTCTGGTTCTGGTTCTGGATGAATTAGAGCCAGCTGGACATTCCTGTTCCCACAACACCTTGCATGGGACAATATCTTTAGAAGTTTTCAACTCTCT